CAGGCTGATGCGGTCGAAGGCCAGGTACTCCTCCATGTGGCCCTCCACCTCGATCACTTTGGGTCTGGAGCCGCTTAACGGCCCGTTTTGTTCTGCTGAGTTGGACTTGAGCACTGCCGCGCTGCGGCCGAGCACGTTCAACCTTAAAACCCAGAAAAAAGATGATGTGCATTTTCCCACTTTTTTTCCCTACAGTTACCAAGGTATATCAATAATATGTTTTTGACGTGTATTTGGCAAAATACTCTTGAGATCAAGTACGACAGTACACTTAGTTCCCTGTTCCGTACACTGCCCAGCCGCTAGCGAGTACAACTTTTGTTCCTATGTCGACAAGGAGCAGGGCTAGGGCATGGTGACTCGGCAAGCAGCTTTAACTTGTGGAAGCAAAAATATAAGACAGTGTTCACGATTTGCAGATTCACCAAAACCCCCATTTTTTTTTTTAACCTATCGGCAGAAAACTCACCTATTTGCTGTTTTATGCTCAGGCTAAGATTATGGCTCTGCTGACATCTTGTGGCATCTCGGTGCCAAGGAACTATGTTGAAGTGAGTTGAGGAGCTTCATGTAGCGTATTGCTGTCATCTCAAGGTATTATGTTTCCAAATACGCATTGGTCAAAATATCGCGTTTTTTTTTCATATGTGGGTAAATAAAAACACAATTTTATTTTTCAACAACATATAGAATATAGAATGTTGGGTACATTAAGAAGAATGTACCATGTTAACTTGAGAGACACAACTATGTCCATACAAATATACAAAAAAAAATAATTGATCCTCTTTGGTATGAGCAGAATCGGACTGGCGGTGTACCGGGTGTTTTGTCAGCGAGCGTGTGCCGAAGCAAAGCGAAAACTCACTCTGTACTGTTGTCATCTTTCTCACTTGGCCTCCCGACGGCCTGTTGGGCCGCGGACGGGCGAAGACCGATGTTGCTGCCGACCGTCCCTGAGGTCGCGTACCACTGGAAGCCCTCATCGCCGGGACACACCAATTGAGTGCCCAGGATTCTGAGTCACACAAACACAACAGAAACTTGGCTTTGAATGAAAGAAAGAATGAGCTGCCATTTTCCAGGCTGGAGACCAACCGCAGATGAGGGAAGCGCGTGGCCCACTCCTGACACTCCTCCTGCAGTCCCGGGAGTATTCCTCTCCCACTGCCTCGACCTTCATACAGCTCTTTGTCGATCTCATCAAACATTTGCTGCACTTGGCGGGAAGCCGCCTTGTCGAATTCCTGCAGAGGAAGGCAGCGTTTACCTCCACAAAGAAGAGCGATCATTTGTTGCTTTTTTTGGGCCATACAGGGCCCTCGCAAGCCTGGCCACGTCGGGCTGTTGGCACATCGGATAATAACCTTCGAAAATAGAAACCTTTTTTTTCCAGGCCTAATGTGTGCGCAAAGGCTCGTGATTTCGTGTTGAGATGGAACAACCCGAGTTTGAAGTCAGTCGGGTTGACCGTTTAGGACAAAGGGGCAAAAATACAACCCTTGTGCAAAAATGGGCCAAAATTGTACTTTCAAATATTCATAACTCTATTCTTGTACATGTTTGGGTGTGACTACCAAAGTTTTTTTATTATTATTTTTTTTTTTACGTCTAAGGGTGTTACACGTGCCTCCCAGTTTTTGTAGCCATAGGTCAAATGTACGGGGACAGGGCTCTGATAAACCACTCTAGGGGGCGCTACAGACATTTTTTTTTTTTTAACTTGTGTATGGCGACTTTAAAAGATCACATTTTTCGCCAGGCTCGATGTGTCTGCAGTTTTTTTTTCCATTCAAGTCTTTACAGAGAAAAATTAACAAACAAGAACAAAAAAATGAACCCCGTGAATGCTGGGTCAGAAGCTCGTAATTTTCATCAATATTAGTTGCCTCATCTCATTCCTTTTGAATTTGAATGCAGACTGTACCACATGGGAACAAAAAACAAGAACAAGCAGAGTTGGAATACACGCATAATTTCTTTGCACTGAGTTTTTCCCTTCTTTGGTCAAAATAAATAAAATATTGAGGCCTTGAAAAAAAATAAATAAATAAAAAGGACCAACTGTGCCTACAAACAACACGCAGCGGGCGCAGGCCTTGTGAAAACACAGGAGGAGACAAACAAAACGGTTTCCATTCGATATATATATAGCCTCCGAATGTCAATCAAATATCTCCTTCAAAATTTCCCGTGTATTTGTTGAGGATGTTCTTCCGTGACTAAACTCATGACATCACATAGTGTACCCGAGGAAGCCGAGGGGGTCTTACATCGTAGCCCCATGAAAAGACGGAACTCCTCTCTGTGGATACGCCGGTGCCTGTGGAGCTGTGGATGCCCGACCAAGACCGGCTGGAGCCCACAGAAATGACAGTGGAACAGTCAGAGGGGCTGGAAGCACCCGATGTCTCAGAACTAGATCAAAAAAGAGGATTCATTTACAGTTAGTCTGGTCTGGGTTTTTGGGGTTTATCACATAATCAATGGAAAACAAAGAGCAAATGTCAAATTCATGGAATATTCTATCAAGCTGTCTTCATTCGTTATTCTTTTGGCTGCACATCTGAAGGAGGCAACACGATAGCAATTAATCTACGCGGTTTCGACTTTCAAGCTCTCTCTCTTGACTTGCTCGATTGCCTGGAGAGGGAGTGAGGAGTGGCTCGCCTGATGCGGACGGAGACGGCCTCATCCACGTCATCGAGGGGGCAGTGAGGGGTCTGGCTGTCTGCCTCCTCCGGGAGAGGGTGGTGGTCGAGGCTGCTGCGAGACAGGCCACGGCTGCACAGAAAAACAAATCCATGAAGTACCACGTACCATGAATCCCTCCTTTTTCTAGAACGCTGACTTTGGGTGAGACAACTGGGGTACACACTGGACTGTGTGCCAGCAAACCAGAGAGACAAAGGATTGATCACATTCGCGCTCACACTGCACTCATATTAGTTCATTGCATGCTATTGTTAACTTCAAAATGTCATAATTACATTAAATATATATATGAAAAACTTTTCAAAGATAAAAATAGAAAACAAGCGGAGTTGTTCGGCAACAACTGAGGGTGCTTTCTTGTCACGTAAGCCATAGTGCCTGCCACCTTCCTACGCTAGTTAATAATAAAGCTTTGATTACAGTAAAAATGTGTCAAAGCAAGAACAAAAGGGCTCATTTTAGACCACAAATATGAAATTATCATATTAAAAGCATTATGATTGGGCCACGTGACGACACCTTGCAACCTGTAGTTCACTGTGCGCCGTTCGTAACCTCAAATCATCGTAAAGTGAGGATCCCGTCCAATTTAATCGTATACAGTACAAGGTTTGCATCCACAATTTGAAAATGCCTTTGAAATATAATAATGCAGAATTTCTAGACAGATATTACGTTAGCGTTATGAGCTGTCATGATGCTGACACAATCATTATTGGGTTCGTCATGTTTCGTACTTACATCTCTAGCTTGTGCGATACAGGTTTCCTGTTGTAACGTGAAATCATTCTCCTACCCTCCCAGTCTAAAGGCTCACGCCCTCTCCTCGCCTCCTCGCCCCCGCATCTTGAACCCTCATGGGACTGCTCAAGTGTAGAAATAAACGAAACATTTGCACAAAAGTGCAAACCTGGCTTCCAAACGCGGAAGACAACGTTAGGTAGCAGATACACTTTGCGGCTTAGCTAACATGGCCCGAGCAGCGTCGCTATTTCCACAAAAACTCACTTCCTGTCATTGATGCGTGTAAAAAGTATGTTTGGCGGTCACCCATCTTATCGGCTTGCACTTTCAACGGGTTAATGCGATGCTATCTGCGGTTATGTGAGCGCCTTTGCTACTGGCATTTAGCACCGCCAACAACACGGCTGTCATGGTTACGCTGCCTTGCTTGACCCGGCATGGTACCTGTGTTCGACTACAACTCCCGGCATTCATTGCGAAATCAATGGTTGCGCTCTAAAATATGTCCGTCTGGTATTGGTAGCTTTTTACCGCTCCTTGATTTGGAAAAGGAATTGACGTTCCTAAAAGACATTAGAAATGTTAATTGTAATTAAAATTATAATCATCATCTTAAGTAATTATTATTTTTGAGGTACACAAACTATGAAGTGATGTTGGTCATAGTGTAGGAACCTCTCTTTTCGATTTGGCGAGTCGAGAGTATTTAGGGGTAGGACGCATGACAATCAGGACTGAAAATGGCGTGACGGTGGTGTTCATAAAAGTAGCAACTTTTATTCCAATATTTACATTAAATATCTTGTTAATAAGTCAAGGTAAGGTCATCGATTGTCTGGGGTGAAATTTGCACATCGCTCTCATTAATTACCCTCAACATCTTTTTCCCCACAGGGATTCAATTACACTGCAGCAAGCAATGGATTTTCTCCAGAGGAGAGTGGTACAGGAGGACGCAGTCCAGTACAAACTCTTTTTGACGCAGACGGCCGGTTCTACGGTACAACACACCGAGGAACAGCTCTCGCGTCTTGTGGAGGAGATCCTTGCAAAAATAGCGCCTCTGTCCATGCAGTACATCTGGCAGAATGAGCCTTTTAACATCAAGTATTGTCCTGAGAAAGGTAGAAGTGTGATCCACTCATGGCTTCTAGTCCACACTGCAAGCTAATGATATACTCCACTGTTCCATTTAGCGGGTGTTCCGGCTCATATCGGTGGCGTCACCCAGTTCGGCGACAATGTGGAGGATGAGTGGTTTATTGTTTACCTTCTGAAACAAATTACAGAGGCTTTTCCTGCACTTGCTGCACGGTGGGGAAACAGATTTTTTTATCGTTTTACCTCTTAGCCCATTCCTGTGCTGTTTTAAGTCAGCTACTAATCTTTTTGGATTATATACTTATTTTCTGGCAGAGTCGAGGACACCGATGGTGACTTTCTTCTAATTGAAGCAGCAGATCATCTCCCTAAATGGTTGGACCCGGACACCAGTGAGAACAGGGTGAGTGTTTGGGACGAGGTGCATTCAAGACCAATAGGTATAATGCACATGCAGATACGCCAGTGCAGATACTTTACGGCTATGATTCTCATGCTCTGACCTGTAAAAATGTTCTGATACGACGACACTCGAAAGCGGCCTGACATATAACAGTTCCACTCATTGTTTTATTTTTGTCAGGTGTTCATCTACCGTGGCGCGTTGCATCTCCTGCCCTGCCCTTCGCGTTCCAATCCGACGGGGATCCCGAAGGATGTGGTACCGAGTGTTCAGCAAGCTCTTGCGCAACTCTCCGCACAGCCAGAAGCTTGCCGGGCAAGCCCCAAGATTACTTCGGCCCTGGATAAGCGGCTGGATGGGTGAGAGGACACAAACGTCCAGTCTGTTTTAAATCAACCTCTGTTATTTTGTTTTATCTGCTCAGGCTAAAAGTGTACATATATTGGGTTAGTAACAATTCATGCAGGTCAGGTGACTTTAGCTCCTCTCGATGTAGCTGCTTAGATTGTCATAAGCGCCATGCTCGTATACAAGAGCAGCAGATTGTGTCCTTCACAGAGGAGACACCAAAATGAGACACAGCTGGCTGTGTTGTTTGGAGATCATTTAGATAATGAATAAAGGCATCAGAGAAGGATTAGCTCGATAAATGGAGTACACACATACAAGAATCGGGCTGAATTTGAACCGTCAAAGGCCCAATTATCTGATGTCTGTGCTGAGCAATTATCCTGTGGTGCGGAGTGTGTTAATAGGGATTTTAGCTCCTCCCCTGATCTGCTTGGAAAACGCTCTAGGCAGACAATCGCATGTATTAAATCTTAAAATCACTTAACCCACACCACAACACAAGATAATCATGAAGATACTGTCTTGGATGAGAACAGGGGGGAAAAAAACCCTCAAATTGACTGCTCATATTATAAATTTACCATTTATTCATGTGTAGGTATCCAGCGAAGATCGGAGCCAGCCAGCACCGTGCCCACTGCTTCGTACCGGCGGGCGTGGCTATGGTTTTGGCGCAGCGGCCCGACCTGGTGGCCCCCGCCGTGTCCGCTTTTTACCTGCGGGACCCCGTCGACCTCCAGGCATGCCGCAGTTTCAAGAACTTCCCTCCTGACACGCGGGTCTTAACCTCGGTAACGCAAATACCCCCACGTGATTTCACAGCGCTACCTGCCGGCCGTTGACATCGAGATGCGGCGTCTTCTTTCAGGTGACGTTCACTCGGTGCTTGTATGCTCAGCTGCTGCAGCAGCAGTTCGTCCCGGACAGGAGGAGCGGCTTCACCATGCCTGCGCGCTCGGACCCCCGATACAAAGCGCACGAGCTTGGCATGAAGCTGGTGAGACAATATCGTTAATACAACACGTGGATATTGTATGACGGCTCATTGGTTTTACCGGCAACAACTGTTAACCACTCTGCCTGTTTTTTGTGTCTGTGTGTGTGCGCGTTACCGTCTCTGCGTCCCAGGCTCATGGCTTTGAGATCTTGTGCGCCAAGTGCAGGTTGCCACTTTCGGACGGCGACTCCTCGGTCAGTTGCAACCCTCAGTGGAAAGGCTTCCTGCAAAGTCTGAAGAGCAACGGTTACTTCCGGGTCGGTCTGGCTTTTTGAACGCCTTACATGGACGCACCGATCAGCCCGTGAAGATATTGATTCTCTGGTGTTCAAACCGCAGGAAGAGATTGAGGGTTCGGCACGTTTCAGGCAGCTCAAGACATCGGCGGAAAACTTCTTTCAACAGTCGGTCGCCTCAAAATCCTGGTGAGAACTTTTATTGTGTGTGTGTGTGTGTGTGTGTGTGTGTGTGTGTGTGTGTGTTTTTCTAATACATGTTCCCAAAATGCCAATGTATCGAACTCAAAAGTTAAATACAACTGAACTTGACTGAGCCACTACTTCTCCTCGGGGATTTTCCTAAATAAGACCAAATCAGAAACGAGTATCGCTGACAGATTGGCGATGATGAATTACAAAGCTTTTGTTTTTCTAAATGCGGGTGCCTCTCGCAAAGTTTTACGGACAGTTTCAAGATTGGCCTCAAGAACGCTCCCTCAATCCACATGCTACGCGGCAGTAAAAATATTTCTCCTGTAATTTTCCTAAAGTGTCAGGTGTTACAAAAGCTCGAAATTTGATCCTGAACTGACGTGTCTTGCAGTGACACGTCTCCAGGGGAGGAGGTTCTTCAACTGCTGAGTTCCTGTGGTCCCATCGACGTGGAGGAGTTGAGGAAGCGAGAGGCGCAGCTCCCACAAGAGGATAGTAAGTGCAACACCAAACGGTGTCCCATTTACTACTCAGCCAATGGCCAGTCTGGCTGTCATTATTATGGTGCAGCTGGGGCCACCAAGCGAGTGGCTTCTACTTTGGATCGGATGTCAAGAATATGTTTCTTCATGGTCATCTTTAGGTGACAACTGGTTGAATGTCACCGCCCAGGATTTGGAGCGCATGCTTGAGGAAAGGTCCGGGTCCAGACCGAAGCCAGCAACCGCCAAATCCCCTCAGCCTACCGAGACGGAAGCTGCCGGGAGCACAGAGACGGAGAACGGCAACGAAGAAGAGGAGGCCGGTTACAGTCTGGTGGGGGTCAGCCAGAAGATGACGCGGTTCCTCAATGCCAAGTCATCGTACTTGGGGGCCGAATTGCCGTGGTGAGATGCCCCTGTCAGCTCTGATTTGGAAGCTTTGTGAATGATGGGCTCCCTCTAGTGGTACACCACGTCATCGTACTTGGGGGCCGAATTGCCGTGGTGAGAACCCCCACCCCCACCCCTGTCAGCTCTGATTCGGAAGTTTTGTGAATGATGGGCTCCCTCTAGTGGTATATGTATAACTGCCCAAGAACAGTTCGGTTGTACTTTTAAGTTCAAAACTTTTGCATGAAATAATTCAGAGTAGTTTGTTCTTGCACAGTTATTTGGGAGCAGTTTTTTTTCCTATTTAACTGAATAAAGCCTCTCCACATTAATTCATTGCATGCTATTAAATATTCTCTTATTGTCTTTTCTTGCAGGAACTATTCATGCAATCATCCTTTTGCCTACGACATGCCCACCCTCCTAAAAGAAATGGAACGGATATTGGGTATGTTGATGCTTTTTTTGAAACGTCCTCTTCACTTTACTTGAATCTCTTTTTTTTTTTTTTCTCACCCTCAGACACAAGTGAGGAAGAAACGCTCGATTCGGATGATCTTTGTGAAGATGAATGGGAAGGAGTTGAGGAGGACGAGGAGGAGGAAGATGAAGACATAGAAGAGGGGCCCTCAGGTCATGCGGAGATGGATGGGATGGAGGCTTTGGATACTCTTAAAGGATACATGGACCAGATGGACCGGGAGTTGATGAACACGCATATCGGGCAGAGCTTTAATCAGACGGTAAGAACAAGGATGGATGGGTACAGTGACTGTATTTTTCAAAGGTGCAATTTCTCCTTATTGTACAGATGCTATTTTAGACATATAAGTGTGTAAAGCGAGAAACCCAAAGAGAAGTAAGTTGCAGAGGTAACCACACAAAGCAACGCAAATGAAAACCTCTCGTCCTCTCCGTAGACATCTGCGTCCGCCCAACTGCATGCCACAGAGGGCCTCCCGAGCTCAGCCGAGGATGCGGAGGAGCTCCAGCCTCTAGACGTGGACCTCAACCTGGTCACCAACCTTGTGGAATCCCTCAGCTGCCAGGAAGGGCTGGCCGGACCCGCCTCCAATCTGCTCCAGAGTCTGGGGGTACACCTCCCCCCAAACTCGGACCGCTCATAGCGGGCAGCGAGTCCTTGAGTGAGGAAACTGTCCTTTCTCAACGTGAAAAGAAGAATCAAGATTTTCAGCCTCTCTCAATCCACACCTTCATTGATTCGATAATATGTGAAATGCATCCAAGTAGGAATCAATACACCGTTCAAAGGTTGACTTTTTAATGGAAGAATGTGTTGAAATTACTGTAGATACATTTGGTATGCAGTGACGCAATAAATATTTTTGCAACAAAAGTGCCTTGTCTTTCAATCGGATTCATCCTTGCAAACTTCAACAAATGCTCCCTTACCCAGCGGGCGTTGTATTGATGTTTTTGAACCACTGCGATGTGATCGTGGTCGTACAAAGACGCGTAGGAAGTCAGATAATAACCTTACTGACCGAGGTAATAAATATTAAATAATCTTGGAAAAACATGCCAGTCTAAGGCCAGAGCAGCTGCGCAAAGGGGTGCGCCAATTCCCTGGCCGAATGTAACAGCGCCGCAGCCAGCGGCGAGATGCACAGCGCCGACATGACCACCGCAAAATCGAGGAGCATCCCCAGCAGCAGGATGGCCAACAGGTAACCGTGGAAGAGCAGGCTGCGCCAGCTGGCCCGACTCAGCGCCAGCAGGGGGCCGTCCGGATGCAGCGTCCACAGCAGGCCCAGCAGCCAGCATTGATTCACCAGCAAAGTGTAGTAGATGTCCAAAGCGGAGGGCTGGTCGTCGGCGGGCAGGCGGCGGCGTTCAGCGTGGGACACTTTAGACAGCCAAGTCAGGGAGAGGCCGAGGAGGATGACGGCCAGAGGCGCGTACATGTACTCAAGAGGCTCCACGACTGATAGGCCACGCCAGGCTGCAAGAGGTAACCAAAAAGCCCGTCTTGTATTAAGCACCTGACTGAGTGCAAGGAGCTTCACAGAAAATAACTTTGGTTGAAGGTAGTCCACCTTGTAGAATAACATTTGCGTAAAGTATCCGACATTTGCTGTATTTAAGTATCAAAATGCATTTCCTGGTATTAAATGGACTTAAGAGATCAAATTTAATTTCCCGTGTTGTGATGTCATGTCAGTTTCTGCTGTCGTGTTCATGAGGTTCGTTTGATGGATCGCATGTGAAGGTGGTTTGTTTGTGTTGATTGACTTTGCCCAATACAGCCGCTTATGTAACGTGGGTTCATTACTGTGGACATGTTAGATGCATGGCGTTGATGTTTATCATCCTCTCCGGTTTAAGCGCTTTGCGTATACATAGTTCAAAATTCCTTTTAAATCGATCAGTTATTCATGGGATTTCGCTCTTTGCAGCAGGGCTCCGTCCGCCCTCAATATTATCCTCATTCCAACCGCAAAAGGTTCTGGGTTCAAATCGAGGAGATTTTGCTTTGTCTGGGTACTCCCGTCCCACGTTCAAAAACACAAACGTACGCTTAACGGAAGATGTGACATCTTACGTATGTCATAATCTTCTTCGTTTTCTGTACGGTTGGGACAATGAAATTACCTGTGAAGACCAAAGACGACCCGGTCAGAATGGCCACAAGGACACAGGTGTGGCCAGAGGGTGGCGCTGACACTTTTAGCGCAAAGCTCAGGCCCACCGTGACGAGAGACAGCGGCCGAAGGGCAAGCGGGAAGAGGCCCGCATACGAGCTGCTGGCTTCGCCCCACATGACGAGCACGTCGTGGACGCTGCTGGAGATGGAAGGCACCAAGAGACGCTCCGCCAGTGGACGACTGTACCGCCTCAGTGGCGCCACCCCCAGGACGTGGAGGAGATTGAAGAAGAAGACTGACACCAGGACCTGGAAAGAAAAAAAAAAAACAGTCCAATTGCAAAGTCATCCCTAAAAAAAAAAAAAAAAAAAAGGTAACAGGGTCACGCTCATTTCTGCGCAGCACCACACTGAGAACGTTTTGGTTCCCTTTAGCTTAATTAAAAGGAGCACAATCGATCTGCACAGATGGGCTGTTTAATGGAGCACCGAAAGCATAAATGGGAAGCCGGCAGATGGCACGTCAAAAACTGACGTTTGAACTTTTAACAATCACAATCTCAGCGGGACTGTGAAGCGAATTACAAGGTCGCTGTGAAACTTTAGTTTTGAACAGAAATGTCATTTACGACATATCTCAGATCGCAATGTAGACTCTCAACCCAGCGATGTCCTGTTTCATGGAAACGAACGACCGGCTAACATGCCTGAGTACAGCAACAAACATTTGGAAAGTATCACTCGACTGTACACGTTGAACTTCACAAAATGTACAGCGATAAGATAGTTAAACAGAATATGAATAATTGGTTATGCATCATGATATAATATGCATAATATTTCCCCTTTATTATCAATTCTTAGCATTCCTATCTTCATGAACAGCCAAACGAACATTCTCCAATATGACACACCACCATTTGTATTCATGCTTGTTCACACTTCAACCTTGAGGCCTGTATTTGTGCTCCTGAATGCCGCATGGTTTGTTTGCCTACATACCTTCGGAAGGTATGAAGGTAACCTTCCACAGTTACTTCTCACCCGCCTACACGGCTCAAGGTTCGCTCCGGTGATTGTCCTTCACAGAACTCACTCATTTGCATCAAACCTTGGTCGGCCTTCCACTCGCATGCAAAGACTTTGAAGTATTCCGGTACACACGCGGGCCCAACCTTGCCCATTGGCGCAGCAAATCATTCACACTCATTCAACATGTACAGTATTGAGTTAAACCGCCTCGCACAAACAGTTTGTAGGACGGCGCCGGTCACCGACCTGGCCAAAGCAGAGGGCCGCCACGTACGGGTAGTGGTACTGGGGGAGGAAGATGCCGGCTACAAACCAGCGGAGCTTGTCGGCTGAGCCGTACAGGAAGACCAGCGCCGCGTAGAGGGTGGGCACCAGGGGCTTCAGGGCATTGTTGGAGGAAAGGGTCCTCACCGTGGACGTGCACCATCGCCAACTGCTCCACTTTCCGCAACACGTGAATCTCTTTGCAGCAGTTCATGCACAAAAAACAAACAAAAAAAAAAACAAGTTCTGCTAGTTAAACAGTGTAATGAGTATTATGTGTAGTACACAAGATATGAGAAGGGTTGGTACACTTCCAGAAAAAAGGGGGACTATAGGGGCCCGTTTTTGGACTCCAAGGTGTAGTACACAAGATATGAGAAGGGTTGGTACACTTTCAGAAAAAGGGGGACTTCGGGGCCCGTTTTTGTACTCCAAGTTCCAATTTTTTGTGTTGTGCCCTCCAGGGTTCATAATTGAACCCCTTGCTTTATATAAGTACTGTTAATAGTTCGGGAATGTATAAAAATCCCCCAAACTGGCAAAGAGAAGGCTCCATTTCTCCGAGTTACCCATTTTGGATTTACTGACATGTAAAGCGAGGCGTTGTTTAACCGTCCTATTTATTCCATTCGAAACGGGAGGCACACAAACAGATGGAACAATCAGATGAGACAAATGCAGTTTGACTCACCATCTGGCAGCCCTCCTGCAGTCGCATTTCATTTCACTTGCAGACGCTGACAGTGGAAATGACAAATACACGAGGAAATGCTCGGATGAGGCCTTTTCTCGGGACGGAACGTGCCTCCCTTGTGACATGGTCTGCTGCTTCTTTCACCTCGACACTCGTGCGTTTGAATTGTCCCGATGGACTTTGGTCCAGCTTTGTTTGTCCCCCCCACCTCATTAAATAAACACGCATGTGAATAGCCATTCATTAAGTTTCCGCTTTAAAGTGATGGGAAAGAGAAAGCGACACCCTCTGTGGATTATGTCTGGTATGTGTTGAATGACACATTTTTAAAAACACAGATAAGGCGAAGTCAAATCTGTTCGCTAACTCAATGCCATTATAGATTTTTTTTTTTCCCCTCTGACTTCACCGATGTACTTGTAATGCGGGAGCGTAAAACAAATGGTGGTTTCTCTCGGCTTTTGGACACCTGTTTGTGACATTCACATGCCCCCCCCCCAACCCCCCGCTTCCTGCGCCTGCTAATGGACGCCGAGGAAGATCTACGTAAAGCAAACATCAGGGTAAAAAAAACACTCCTGTGCAGAGGGGGGGCACCATGATACCCAACTTTTGAATCATCCTTGACCTCTGAATCCGTGTCGTGGCTGAGCCACAGACTATCCCCGCTGACTGGGAGAGAGACAGGCTACACCCTGGAGTGGTCGCCAGTCCATCTCAGGGCACACTCTCAAGACACTTGGGCCACGGGGCGGACCCCCAGTTTATCCCCGCTGACTGGGAGAGAGACAGCCTACACCCTGGAGTGGTCGCCAGTCCATCTCAGGGCACACTCTCAAGACACTTGCGCCAAAAGTAAACCAAATTGGGTCCAAAATGGAGCATTAACAGTTTTTTTTAAAGTGTATTAAGTTGCCTTATGCACTTTTTGGGGTTATTTATCTGACCTTAAATATGAATAAACTACAGAATGAAAAAAAAAAAGGAATGAAATAAATGTACCAAAAACATTACTAATCACAAAACAACACGATTTTAGGGTAGTCTTGTACAAAACAAACCCTTTTTTTTTCATTACAACACCCTGATTTTGGATTTTTTTTTTTTGTGAGTTATTCATTTGACCTTTGGGGTCAAATGGATAACTCAAAATTTTTGTTGATTTTTTTCCCCCCGACTGTTTTGAGAGCGCGTATGGCATAAGATGCATTCACACTCATATTCAACCATCTTAAAGTCGTCAAAGAACTGAAGTGTGACATGGCCAAATATGAGGTTTGGCCATTTTAATTTTTGTGAGAGAGGCTGGGCACACCCTTGCCTGGTCGCCAGCCAGGCACCGGGCTCATTAGACAAAGAACCATTCATACGTAAGCCCAGAATCTTTAATGACGCCACCATGCATGTTTTTGGGCCGTGCGAAGAAGCCGCAAGTACCTGGAGAAAAAAAAAAAAGCCACTCGACACAGAAGCACCTGAGGTGAGATTCAAACCCAGAACTTCTTGACTGTGACTGAGGCAAAGGTGTTAACCACAAAACACAAAAACCACTGTGCTGCCGAACTAAAATGACTTCTGTGAATAGCCTAATGAATAACTCACCAAAATGACTATAATGTTTAGGTGGGGCAGTCCTGCTATGATTTATTGCATCCAAAATAGACAGCGAAGTCACGCTCACAGTTGAAAGTTTAGTCTCTCTTGTGCGCACACACGCGCACGCGCTTAACTCCACCCTGTTGAACTTTTGAAGGAATTCCCTCCCACCCGACACGTTTTACTTTGCAGGGAATTTTCTGGAATGTGGGTGAAATAGGGAGTCTGTATTTCCAAACGGTGCCCCCCGCCCGACCCCAAAAAAAGAATATTGAGTTGCAAAGTATGCAAAAACATCCCCTAACACACGCTTCGGGGGGGGGGGGGCAGTCAAGTTTGGAACATGTGGCACGGTGCAGTTCCTCCACTATTTCAAAAACCCAAAGTAGTACTGTACTACTCATCTGTCGCCGCATGACACCTCCCCTGAAAATTCGAAACGACGGCCCCCTTGCAAAAACTAAGGAGGCTGGGGAGCATGTGAGAGTCTGCACGTAGTCCTTTTAGGTCTTGGCTTGTCCACCCACAAAAAAAGCAGCAGGAGATGTCCAACAGTGAGTCGAGACATTTCGTCAGATAGGACCACCGACACCACGCTCGACCTTCCCCATCTCCCCTTCGCTCTCCTGAATTCATCAACGAGCCTACCGAACACTGGGACACTTTTTTTTTCTACACCCACGATGCATTTTTTCAGGTAACCATTGTCACTAATGAGAATATACACGACTGTCACACTAGTTTGTTTACCAATGCCAATTGCATACTTTCACTGTGCAGCTCTACGTGCTTTTAAGCTAGGTTACGCTAGCTAGCTAGAAAGTGTTAAACTTGTTCTACTTTTTTTTTTAATACACGAGGTGCTTTTGAAAGACAAAACCGTTGCAGGTAAAGGACAAAAAAAATTTGCGGCGTGTCAGTGCGTACATAATGTGGTAACCTAGACAACGTGGAATGCGACCGTCATTGAATTTCTCGTGCGACGTTGTGTGCTACTTTTAGATTTTCTAAACACGATTCAGACAGTCGGTCAACATTTTCTTTGTCAGTACGCACGTCTTAAAATGCCATTTGAAGTTACGTAGCCGAGTCATTTATATCTTCGTATCATGTGGCATCGTTGAGCTCGAATGCTAGCTGATGCTAAAAGCTAACGCTCGTCTTATGACGGCTTCCACGCAAGGGAAGCAAAACTGGCGTGGGGACTGAAAGTACGTAGTCAGTTTCAAAGCCAACCGTTGTTTTTAATGCTTATTTGTTGAAAGTGTGACACTCGCAATCGATCATGTTTATCCGGCAAGGCTCCCAAGTCTCTCCGGCGGGGAGGGGCGAAGACGTGGCAGTCCGCTTCCATTCACTCTCAATGAGAAGTTAGCCCAAAGAGACGCCGGGGGGGCACTTTTTTTTTTTCAATAAACTCGCTTTAGTTTAGAGTCACAAAGTCCATGAAGATCTGGAGAAATAATATTTTATTCTTGTTTCGATGTTGTTTAATTTAAAGTTCAAATGGATTTGATGAGACAAATACTCCACCGTGCGTTGTTTTTTTTTTTTTCAATGAATGCGCTGTCTTCATTGAAGAAAATACACCAAAAATGTCTTGATTTTAGTTATTCGATGCTGTTGCTGTCCACCGGCCCAACGAGCAGGGGAAATTGAAAACCAAGAACAAAGGAACACGGAATCAGTTCCAAAGTCAAGACAAACTACAGTGTCGCATACTTTTGAGCTTTTGCAAGTGCAGAGATAAGATAAGAAATTACCCCGTTCCGCTTGCTGGGGGGCACAAAACTAAGACTCAAAATCTGAACTTTATTTCGTTTTTTCTGGAGCTACTATTCCAAGTTTGAGACGTGAACAACGGAATGATGACCATAAATACAAGAACATAGGTGAAAGTGAATCATATTCACATTTGGTCTGTGGAGTACATCATTTTGAGATTCACGTTTCTTTGCTTTTTGTCCTTAAGCTTCTTTCTCTCCAAAGCCATATTTGCAATGGCAGTTATCAAAACGCGTTCCTCATCGTTATTCCCAAATGATGTGACGATTCTCAACCACGCTTACTTGCTCACGTGAAAGAATAGTCACCGAATTTGTACACAAATTGTCAGTCAAAATACACTCCCTGTATTGTGCATTACAGTGGTTCGCGTGTCTGCCTCACAGTTGTGAGGTTTAGGGTTTGAACCTCTGCCAGGGCCATTTCTAAAAAACGCAAAACTAATGTCACGGTGGTGGTAACGGGTGGAACGGGTTGTAAATTGCTTCCTGCGTTTCCTTCAAGGTATAAAAAGCATGCGGCTCTGTTTTGATTTTTGCCCTGCTGCTGACCTAAATCGCAAAGCCACGTGAGGTTTTATTTTCTCTGGCAGCATGTCAATCTGGCAGAACCTGTTTGAACCCGCATCTTGTCTTGCTTTCCAGAATAATCTTCAGAGTATTCTGAGATTGTCTTTACAACATGTTCCAAAGTCTGTATTTATGCGTTTCTATCCCAAATTCTGTGCTGTTAACTACAGTTTTCCTTTTTCCGCACACAGTGGCACGGTGTGACTGTTTGAGATCATTTCCGCAACGTTGGTTATGCTTATTTTGCAGTGGGGTCACATGCAGTCAGTCTTGGCTGCCATTGGCCGAGTGGTCAACTGCAGGAAATCCCAGACCCGACATGTTGAGGGTCAAGTCAGGCATTCAATTTCACACCTCCAGGAAATTTGGCAGTCACCCCACATGCCTGGCCTTTTGATTTCTTCGAAGCAGCTACCTGTTTAGGCTTGGCCAAAGTAAAGTCTGAGTCACACAGCTTTGATCACTCAGCTGCAGAATACAAGGCTTTTTTTTTTAACATTCAATTTTTTTTCCAACTGCTTTTTAAAAAATAGGGTACATGTACACTGACAGTTGGCCTTCTTCAACTTCTGTGTTTTGTTTCCCATGCGGTCAAAGTCACCAAAGGCCAAATTATCGGATGTCTCTAAAAAAATCATGGCTATAAAGATTATCTTTGTGTTTGCGGTTTGAGATTTTTTTTTCTCTCCGATCTACTTGGGACTGAAAATTGTAAACCTGTTCAATATTGACAATGGCGAATTGTTATGTGTCTGGTCAACACTGTATTGATCCATTTTACAGTGGGGTCGGGAACAAAAAAGAGCCATTTGAACCCGTTTCACGAACAAAACTACGCGAGCCACAAACTGTTTGGACATCGAAAATAAAGATAGTTTTTCTTTGTATTCCTGCTGCAGACACCAGTTGAAGCGGGTGGCCTGTTTGAACCGAAATGCATTTCATGTACCGCCCCCCCTCGCCCCTCCTTAAGTCAGAAATAGCTGTTCCACATTTGTAGTTTTAGTTCAGATATACTGTGTTCCTACCGATCCATCATAAATTCAGAGAGAGGTAAAATAATGTTCACAACTTGTTACTTCACGTCACATATGGTCGACGCACCTGCCGGAACAGCGAGGCCGAGGCCTTCAGAATATCACGGTGAACATTTTGCATCGAAATCTATCCGGAATTTGAAAAATTGAGCACGTCACGACCTGCCCCAACCTGATTCTTAGAGACACATCGTATCACACTTGATGTGGGGGGGAACGCACTCCCGGCCTTCCTGCCTGGTCCAATGACCAATGACACAATGATGTGCTTGTTTTGGAGACTGCAGAAGATGTGCCGTGTGTTCTAGTGGGAGCTTGGAAACAGCAGAATCCCTCGGGAGGGAGAGATAGCACCTCAGCCAGAATGATTCTTTTTGTTCATGTCTTATTTGAATCCATCTCGCCACAGGAAGCTGCTCCCATGTTGGTGTTTCCTGTTGCTGAGCTGCCAGCCGTCGCTGTCAGCGCACGACTTTTTCACCTCAATCGGTAAAAGGTCTCATTTTTCTAACATCGCGTGCCACGCACGACAATGACGCGTGTCGATGTCGCGCCCATGTTCCACAGGCCAAATGACGGATCTGTTGTTCACGGAGAAAGACCTCGTCACATCCCTCAAGGACTACATCCAAGCTGAGGAGAACAAGTTGGAGCGGGTCAAAAAGTCAGTGTGTCGACGACCCCGGCGCAGCGTCTTCTAAGTGTAAAGCTAACTTGGCGTTCTTTGGCAGGTGGGCCGATAAACTGGAATCTTTGACGGCCACGGCCACACAAGACCCCGAGGGCTTCCTGGGGCACCCGGTCAATGCCTTTAAGCTGATGAAGAGGCTCAACACCGAGTGGGGGGATCTGGAGAGTCTCGTCCTCAGCGACACCACCGATGGTTCGTAAATAAAAACACTGATTTCACTTCTTGGCTAGCTTTCATGTGCAACATCATTGGCCGTCTGTCCTATCAGGTTTTATTTCCAACCTGACCATCCAAAGGCGGTACTTCCCGACGGATGACGACCAGACTGGCGCGGCCAAAGCTCTCCTCCGATTACAAGACACATACAAACTGGATGCCCACACCATCTCCACAGGAAACCTACCTGGTACGTTACCCACATTGGTGAAGTCAGACTTTGCTGCGGGCAAACGACATACATAAAAGAGACATGCTTTTTTTTTTTTCCCCCCACCACAGTTTAAAACCCTTCATAGGTCTTCTTAATTAGGGCCTGCCCAATTCATCAGTTGATATTAGCTTTTTTTTGATTTTTAAAAATTGTTCAATGTTTTTTTTTTTTTGTTTTTGTATTTTTTTGGTAATTTTTGCAGATTTATTTAAACACACCAACACAACATAAGACAAAAATAAAGGCATTCAAACATTTCTTCCCCACAAGAAATATAAGGGGGAAAAAATCGGCCGATTTTTGCTTTCTCTCTATTGTAAAAGGAAACAAAGGGATCAAAAAATAAGTTAATTTATTCCTTATGTATTATGTATTTATTACTTGGTTGCCAAAATTGTATTCTGCCAAATATCGGAATCGCAACGGCCTCAAGAAATACACAACACCCAACTAAAAAGTTTTATAAACAAAGTGCTACTTTAATATAAATGGAGCTACTCAACTTACCTCAACATAATTCCTTGCCAGCAAGATGCCACAAGATGGTGACAATGCAATATTTTTTATTGCTCTTTCGAAGCACTAAAACACCGAAGAGGTGACTGTAATACAAACACATCACACGTTCTTTGTGGATACTGTATGTCCCTCTTTTATATTCATGTTAATATCACCGTGTGCACATCAGGGGTGAAGCACAAGACTCTCATGACGGCAGAGGACTGTTACGAGCTGGGAAAGATTGCCTACACGGATGTCGACTACTACCACACGGAGCTGTGGATGGCGCAGGCCCTGAAACAGCTCGACGACGGTGAAGAGTCCACTGTGGATAAGGTCACCGTGCTGGATTATCTCAGTTATGCCATCTACCAGCAAGGGGAGTTGGAGCGCGCCCTGGGGTACACCAAGAGACTCCTTGAACTCGGTTAGTCCCTGTACCAAAATGTCAGTTGAACAAAAATGGATGCAGACTAGATTTTTGTTTGTCAGGATGCTATCACATTCTGCGCCAAAAAGTCACAGACGCCAGATGGTTGGCCTCATTTTAGAAAAATGCTCCTCGGTTATTATTGCAGAGTATAATTATAGCAGAGTTTAAGATGTCTTTGTTTGATAGCAATTGCAGTTGGCTTCCTTTTTTTTGCCCACAACATTCAGACCCAGAACATCAGCGAGCCAAAGGCAACGTGAAGTACTTTGAGTTCCAGCTGGAGAAGCAGAAAAAGACGAAAAAAGAGGACACGGCCATTGAGAAGGAGCCTGAGAAGAAAGAGACACCCGTCAAGAAGAAGCAGAAGCAGAAGAAGGACAGGAAAACCTTCAGTCTGATGCCTGAGAGGAAGAAGTACGAAATGCTGTGTCGCGGGGAGGGCATCAAAATGGTGAGCAGCGCTTTTAGATGACAAAAATATCGTCATTTTCTAAGGACGTCTTTAGTTCTGAACTCCTTGGTTGTGTTTGTTTTCCATCGCGCTAGACTCCCCGTAGGGAAAGCCGACTGTTCTGCCGTTACTATGACAACAATCGCAACCCCTTCTATGTGCTGGGACCGGTCAAGCAGCAGGATGAGTGGGACAGCCCCTACTTAGTCCGCTTCCTCAACATCATCTCTGACAAAGAAATTGCCAAGGTCAAAGAGCTGGCAAAGCCCAGGGTAAGTCGTCTCATCTTTGTCTCGAAAGTGTGGTGGTTTTATCGTCACTGTTTTGATGCCGCTTCGGTTGTATCGAAATGTCACACTTGAAACGGAAGATTCTGGCCTGTGTAATCATGTATACAGTTCAAAAGCGAATTGCCCCAAATTAAAACCAAAAGACATTTTGCTGCCGAATGAAATATTTTTTTGTCAATGAGGGGGTGAGGGGTTGGCTTGGGATGCCCACCCACCTTGATTTAGCGCCACTGCAATTAACCCTTGGAAGAAAAAAAAATTGCTGTCTTTCACTGAGTCACTTAGTTGTGAAACTCTTCCTTGTTTGTGTCTGTATGTTTGTATTATACTGCCACCTAGTGGCTAAAGTGTGCACCCAAGAATGAAACACAATAACCCCCGCTCGTGCGTGTGGGTCGAAAGTTCACGGTGCCACGATTTTGCTATTTTTGTACAGTTAACCACGCTATTTGGTCTTACCCTTGTTTGTATTGAATGGAATTCCTTTGTTGAACACTAGATGGCGGAGCACTTACTTAGTTTGCTATGATGTCAATTTTGAAAGCACAACAAGTGTTTCAGCACGGCCCAGTTGTTGAAAATGATTGAATGTCATCCAGTCTCATCCTGCTTTTTACACCTACAAAAAAAAGATTGGCTTTATCTTGATTGGCTTTCGGTGCATTTTAAATGCACATCTTTGAGTGTGGTTTTTATACTCAGTATATTGTGAGACGTTTCTAAGTTGGGGTGGGGGAAAAGGGGTGGTGGGATTTGTTGACTTTCAACACAGAGGCATTGGTCCTCTGGAACACTCTGGAGAATATTTTGGTGTTATCCGTTGCTCCTGCTCTTGTGTGTTTTGTATGATTTCAAACGTGTGTTTAAAAACCTTTAACGAAACAAGTCGAGGCACTTCTGTATTTGTGTACACGCAATTAGAAAGCCAGAGTTACACAACATGGCTCCTTTAAAACCATGCCCAAAGCAAAGTAGCCTGTGCTCAGGTATATCTCTCCTGCGTCCGGTAGAGCGGGGCACAGTTCGTCAAATAAACAAACATACACACACACACATGCGCATGTGTGTGGTAAATCCTCTGCCTGGCTTCACAGCTGCGCAGGGCTACCATCTCCAACCCCACCACGGGAGTGCTGGAGACTGCTTCGTACAGGATCAGTAAAAGGTAAGTTTTATCCAGGGTTTGCCCAAAACAGACAAGGGAGTCCTAATGGAGGAAGTGGCATTCCTCCTCTTCCCCTCAATACCCCCCACCCCTCCCCCTGCTATAGTTGATCTTAACATAGTTGCTTTTTCATGCGCCCGGAGCCGTTTCAGAGACAAAATGGATGTTCAGTGGAAATTGCAAGTCATACCTCATGAAACATGCTCTCTTTTTAAGCAGTTAACATTGACATCTAGTGACTGTTTCTGCTTTTCTCTTTCTCTCTCTCTCCTTCCTCCTTCCTCGTCTCTGACTGTCTGTCCGCTGGTGTCTTGCTTCTCTTTCTGTCCCCCTCTCTCTCCATCCATCTTGCGACGGGAACACCCGTAGTTAAGGCGAGCCACGGTGCATGACCCCCAAACTGGGAAGCTCACTACAGCCCAATACAGAGTCTCCAAGAGGTAAGGGGGGGAAACAGGTCAAGCAAACTCTTCTTGCGGACCCTTCGCAGCTTGGTTCCAAATGGAAAACATGTCACTGTCGCTTATCTGGAACGATTACATTGTCACAACTCTCCTCTCAGGCTGCTCCTATTTGTGACATTGCAGAGTTGCAATAATTTTGGCCAATGAGATTTTTTTTTTTTTGGCGAGAATATCCAAGGCCGAGCACAGAATGAATATTTCCTCTGTCGTACTTGTGGGAATGAATCTCTACTCTGCTGCATTCTTTCATGTGCTCGTCACAGCTGCTGCAGTTCTGCTTACGCTTCCGCAGCCTCCATATCAGCAATCTAAAAGGCTGGAGAGACATAAAGGGATAGATAGCGAAAGCAAAAGCAATTCAACATGGTATAAATTTGCTGCGTGTATATAGTTGTGTCCGTTATTGAAAAAGCTAAATAATGTGGAGTGATTTTGGACTCATGACACAATTTCTTGTGACTGTTTTTCCACATGAAAAATCTCTTAGTTGTGGAAATGATTCAAAGCAGCCTGCCAATTCAAAAAAATAAAATTGTGGAAATGATGTGCGAGTGCAAAGTTTCACAACTTGCCTGTCTTATTTCCACGAGCAAGGAATGCGGAGCGGAATGTCAATCTGACCTCTTGATGAGCTCACTGTGCAAAGACGCACGAGGGAACCTTTTGGTCGGCCCGTGTTGACTTCCAAAGTATGACGCAAAGACGAATGGAGGAGATACAAATGCATTTAATTTGAAATTATTTAGATTGAGGACATCCTGCCTCAGCCCTGAACCAAAAATTCCACTGAGCAGTTCATAAAATCAACCCCCGCCCCCTCCCACCCACCACCTCGAACCCTGAGCTGATTGGAGATTCTGAATCTTGGGCCTTTTTTTTCCCCCCCTTGTGCTTCCTTCTCTGTGCCCCCATTTTTTTTTTTTTTTTTTTTAGATTGTGCTTTACGTTTCCTTCAGCATGACAGCTCTCGCCGCTAGCTCGTTCCTAATTTTGTTTTCTGCCGCCCGCAATCACTTCCGTGCTGGGAATTCTTCTTCTTTCTCAACCGGCCCTGCTCTGTTCCAGCGCTTGGCTCACAGGCTATGAAGATCCCGTCATTGAAAAAATTAACCAGAGGATCGAGGATCTCACCGGCTTGGAAATGGATACAGCAGAAGAGCTGCAGGTGACATGCGCGTTTTGGAGAGTTTCTACTAAGCAGTGGAATTTCCCAAATAATATCACCCCAACTTCACCGCTTTCATTTAAAAAAAAAAAAAAACGTTTATGCACCATTTCACTTCACAGGTTGCAAACTATGGTGTTGGCGGTCAATACGAGCCTCACTTTGACTTTGGAAGGGTATGTCAACACACGCACGCATTCACATGGACGTCAGGATGTGTTTTAACTCCAGAAGTCGAAACCTGACGATCATTGTTTTCGCCGCAGAAAGACGAGCCAGATGCCTTCAAAGAGCTCGGAACGGGCAACCGCATAGCAACGTGGCTCTTCTACGTGAGTCTTGATTCTAATACCCGTCTCATGCATCATATATTTTTTATGAACAACTGAGGAGTGATGGAGAAGAAAAAAAAAAAACGAGCACTGAATTGGAGTCTTCCCTGCTTGTTGTAGATGAGTGACGTTGCAGCAGGGGGCGCCACAGTATTCCCTGATGTCGGAGCGTCGATTCGACCCCAAAAGGTGAAGTGACCATTACCATATGACTGACTGTGAATATTGAGCGCTTGCACATAAGCAAGCGTGTGTTATTGTTTTAGCCTTTCGTGAAATCGAATAAATAGATTTGAAGTGTCAGAGGGCAGCAAGGCCTTGACTGCTTGCTGGTGTCAATAATATCAGGAGCTCTGGGCTTCAGTTGCAATCTAAATTCTAATATTTGTTTCGCGGTATTGTTTTCACTTATAGCCAACAGTTCATTTCCTTCAATTCAATTCAGTCCACTTTTATAACAAAGAAAGAAACAATACATGAGCTAAAACAATTACAAGAAGAAGCGAAGGTTTAAAATCAAATTGACTGCACTGCTTCCAGTGACGGGACAGAGATGTTCGATTCATCGGTCCAATCAGATTTCAGCCTCGCTGTTGCCATGTGAAGCAAAACTGCCAAGTGCCTTCACATTTAGAATCAGTGTTACTTGCCTATGTAACTTCATCAGTAATAATAATGGGATCAGAAAACACATTTGCCCCCAAAAGGGCCAGTGAGGCAGCCCACGATAGTGTCATCATTTTTCTGTCCTCTGATTGGTTGGTCAGAGAAAGCCAAATTCGATGGGATGGACTAGGGTCAAATTAGGCCCGATTATCAGTTATGTGTGTCGTTTGTGGCTAATGTTTTTGTTTTATTTTTGTTTTGTCTCCAGGGTTCTGCAGTGTTCTGGTACAATCTGTTTCCCAATGGGGAGGGCGACTACAGCACGCGACATGCTGCTTGTCCTGTTTTGGTGGGCAACAAGTGGGGTGAGTTTCTCAACGTGAATCCCTACAAGCCGCGTGAATGAATACGAGTAAAAATGTGTTTGTTTCCTCTTTCCCCTCCCGCTCTTTAGTATCAAACAAATGGATTCATGAACGAGGCCAAGAGTGGCGGCGACCATGTGGTCTAAATGAGACTGATTGATTGAAGCAAGAACAACTCTCACCCCCTCCTCGCCCGGCCCAGAGCACCCTGCTGCCGATCACAGATGACACTACATGGACGCTTGGGGGTCCATATGGCACACATTCCCCAAGCTCCAACACTCCCTTTATTTCACAGCCCAAGAGATTGTTTGGAATCAGGACAGCGTCGGCGTCGCTGCGATAGATAGCTCCCGAATTGCCACACCGTGACCTGCGGTTCTGCGGCTATGCTATCCTTCAGTCGCAGGAAAGCCTACACCCCCACCCCACTTCACCCTCCACCACTCCTGTCAGTTGGCATTCTTCAGAAGCCTGACTCATTCACTCCTTCACACACCTTCTCGCGAGTTTACACTATTTCATTGCACGACGATTTGCAAAGCGAGCACCGCTAGCTCACAGCGCGCTATGCGCAAGTTGAGTTTGAGTTGAGAGTTGCTCTTCTCTTCAGGTCATGGGGACATCATGAAAAAAGAATAGATTTTTGTCATGGATGTCGAAGTGATGAAAGGCAGTTTTAACATAATGGCTCTTAATCAGAACAGTTGTGAGATGCGGTTAGCACATTTGACTCACAGGTTTTTGGTTTGAATCTATGTGATGTGGAGCTTTCATGTTCTCGTACGCATTTTTCGGGTTTTCTCCAGGTATTTCTTTCCACATCCGATAAATAAAAAAAATACACGCATTGAAGATTCTAAATTGACCAAAGGTGTGAATGGTTGATTATCTATTATGTGTGTCAGAAAAGTTTCAGGACTGGTGTTTCAAACACAAACTACAGGTTTTCCCCTTCAGTGGGCCAGACAATCAACCAGCATGCCACTCCGGGCATTGAATCTGACACCTTTGCCCGAAGGGAAACACTTCAAATTGGGGAAAAAAAGTGTAGTTTGGATTTGAAATACTACTGGTGCTGTACAAGTACTTTGACTTGTGAGAGATCCAAGATGCAAGACGTCACTTGACCATTTTGTTTTTCTGAGATACAAAGTCCACTTCAGACCACCGCTGCTAAATAGCGGCAGCGCACTACCTACCCAATTTGCAGTGACCGTCATTTCGCATTGGTTTGATTGCAAGGGAAGGGCAGTGCCAGGCGGTGGCAGGAATGCGCCATTAAACTGGTTTGCAAACTCCCCCAACAGAATAACAAGGAAGACCAATCGATTCGGTACAGTTGTTTTGGGCTCACATTGTCCGTTTGTAAGTTGTAATGTTAAGAGCAAGAGTTGCCACTGTGTGTTTTAATACAGTACAAGGACATTGTTCGGGGTGCTGGGGTGGGGAAAGGTGGTTTGAGATACAAGCATGGTCATGGAACGATTTGTACTCATGTCTCAAGGCAACCTATTGCAGTGGAACCCGGATAGTTACTGTTCGAAAGCCCTTTTTTTTTTCGTGGAGATTTGTTCTTGGTAGTTTTGACAGTGGGGGTTTTCATGTTTTTCAATGCAGTTATAATGACATCAATTAGCCGATGTCCTGGTCCCATGAAGGTCCACTGTATAACTTTGTGATACCAGTCCTGGAACTTTTAAGGCACACCCATGTCGATGAAAAATGCAGATGGATGAACATAGCCACTTGAACACACATCCAAACATAAAATCAAGCCTTTGATGTCCAATTCAAACACGCTCCCAGTGGTTTGCCTTTTTTGAAATATTGGGTTTTGCGAGGAAACAATCATTTTATTTATACGACCCAAACCATTTTTTTGTGTTAATGTTATGGCAGTCCTCGTTAATTATAGTTTGTAAGACATTAAAAGTTGTTTGTATGAAGTTTGTTCATGTCTTTTTCTTTACGGGCGCGTGCATGCGAGAGCGCGCGACCTCGACGGGAAGGAACGCGTGGCTCACGTGACCACGCCCCGACGAACGATAACCGGCCGCCCCCGTCCCGCACAAGGCAACCGGGGCCAGACGTCTGTCAGGTCGGGGGGACAAGGGCAAAGCGTTCGCGTGTATGACCCAGCCACAAGTCGGACAAGCATCACTTTGTTTTCAATAACTTGTTTCGAATTTCTTTTACTCCACTTGAAGTCAAGTTTCGAAGGCCCACCGAAAAGATGATGACCATGACCCACATGGAGAGCACGGTGCGTTACGACAACGGCTACGAGGATGAGTACATGCTCCAGGAGGACGAGTGGGACCGGGACATGCTGCTCGACCCGGCCTGGGAGCAACAGCAGAGGAAAGTAAGTCCAAAATTGGCCCTGGAACGCAACAAAAACACTCGACCAAGACTCTTCCAATCAACGACGTTTGGTGTGGTTTGCGCTTTTTATTCCAGGTTAAGATCCATGTACTAGTCAGCTCTTTGCTCTTAGTAGTTAGACAAATCAGTTTGTCTCACTCGTAACGTTTTACTTCCACTGCTTGTCCGAGATCCCCGTACAGTATAGTAAGGGCAGCTACTAGTGCAGCAAAACTGCACTAATTGACATTTCGTTCAGCATTAAATGTTAACTCCTACACTGTTATAATGTCATTAGTTACTAAGCATAGCACACAGTTGTCAACTAGTGCAGTTTTGCCTCACTAGTAGCATATTGTTATCCCTCTAGTGAGGCAAAGCAAGGCTGGTTTATTGACAGTACAGTATATAGCACATTTCAATCACAAGGCAACCCAATGTGCTTCACACAACCAAAGGCACAACATCTACTAGTAGCGCACAAGTGTCAACTAGTGCACGGTTTTGCCTCACTAGTAGGGTGTACAGTGGTTGCTCAAGTCTGAGGGCAAATTATTAGAATGGCAACAGGTGTCTACAAGGTTTAATTGCATCTTCTGCTATCTAGTGGACGAGCATTCAATTATTCTGCCTGTCACTGTCGATAGGTGAACATTATTTCGTGATCGTTTAAAATGGAGAAAGCATACACTTGAAATTGAATCGAAACAAAGTGAACTGTTGTCAAACTTCCAGTCATGGACTCCAGCAGTCTTCCGCTGGCTCTTTGACGGACGGGTCCCAGCAAGGCTAACAATAGCCCTGCTTTCCAGCGGCTCTTTTCTCTCTCTCTTTCTCTCCGGTGATACGCTCGGAATGCGAGCTGTCAACAGATGCTCCCAAACACATGATGACGCTCTCGGGATTTAGAATGGTCGCTGCCTTCTAATTTTAAACACCGCCACTGGCAGGCATTGTCGTAGGGCTAAGCCCGCTGTCCTTGGTGCGGAATGCTTTTGTTTATAGCGACGGCACGCAGAAAATATTGCACCAGCCTGGCTGAATTTAGCCTCGGGGGAGGGGGGGCATGCTCGCAGTTGATTTTAGGGCTTTAGGATTTGGCTTCTTTGCACAGCTGGAGGCACCAGTGCTTCCACCTCAAATGTCTCTCCTCCAACACACTCACACAGAGCCCCTCCCAGCGTCAAGATGAGGAAACGGTTTATTTTTGGCAACACAAGGGGCAAATCACAATTACAGTATTTTGAGGAATTTTGTCAACACGATAATGAATCCCATTTAGTCATCATGTCAAGGACAACATCTGTATTTTTTGTTATACTTTTCAACAAACCATATGAAGACAGTTTTCGGTGCAAATGTGAAACTTTAAAATGGATGGATTATCATTTTAGAGTCAATGATAGTCACAAACCAAGTTTTACACACATATTTATAATTTACCAACTCACCATGATGCTCCAATTTTTGCTGTATTTTTTTTTCTCTCGCCATGACTCAGCAGGTCACTTGAGCATCTTCACAAAGCCTTAACCATGCCTTTGCCCCCTGGTGGTTGGCTGACGACTGGTTCAGAGCCCGCAAATTATATAATAAATATCGCTTCATTATCAGACAGAGTTTTGCAGATTATACAGCAATATAATACTCATTTTCTCATGAAACAGTTTTCACGTTGGCTCCAGTTGCAGTTGAACTATCTCCCTGCACAAAAGGTAGCAGCGTTCAAATGCAACTCTGTCAAAGCTGACATGTTGTGACGTGAGGAATGTGTCCCTGGTGTTTATTTTGAAGTCATCTCTTCATGGACAAGAAAATAATTAAATGTGATTCGGCGTTTAAGGGCAATCTGCATAAATAATGTTTTGCCTGTAACTTCCCTCATTATTCAGCCTCCTTGCTGCATAAATTCAGAAATAAAGAAAAAAATGATCTGATGAAGGCTGTTGCCCAAATATCATCTTTTGACAGATTGAAGATCAATTTTTCATCTGCTATGGAGTGTGCGATAATGTTTTTTATTTTTATTTTTATTTAAAAGCCTCTCAAGGTCACAACAAGTGTCTTGTGTATGACGGTGTCCATTATAATCAGACTATGGCATTGCTCCTACTGTTCGGGCTCTGGATTTGACCTATTCATTCAAACGCCAAAAGTCGGATTTCATTTTATAATCCTGATACAGTCATGCGCCTCTCTGGCACTTCTTTCAAGGTATTCCACTATCTCTCGAACTGTTATGAGGGTGACCTGGAAGAATGATTGAGATAAGAGAGCCTGTAACCAATCACATGCCCATACAGTGACGGACAACAGGGAACAATTTCTCCGTCCACATGACATTTTCACTGTCGCTGACACGACGACACATTCTGACGTTATTCTCCCCCAGCGGGTCCCTTATCGTGACGCACAACAGAGCCCTCTATATTTAACACCTTATATCAGACGGAATGCTGAGCTCTGCGGTCGGCACCCGGCTCTTCAGCCATTTCTGGCGAGTGAGCGACCCGACAAAAATAGGAGGAGAAGGACAATAATCCCATCTTAACTGGATTTACAGTATCTCTCAGAAAGCACATTTGTTCCAATGCTACGGATGAAAAGAGGTGATATTTGACACTTCGGAGTCAGTACAGGCCAAATTTAATTTGAGAAAAGGCGCACATAATTATTAGAAAAGCTGGCGGCACGCCGCCTAAAAAAAAATGCCACTGACAGTATGAAACCTGAAATAATAATCTTCCCTTTAGGTTTCTTGGTTCCGGTAAGTAGCAGCAATCTGGACGTACAATTTTGCAGACCAAAGGACCGCGCAATTGACAAGTGTAAATCTAGAGGCCCAAGTTGACCTGCCATCCGTGACACGAATATCTGAGTGTCATCTGGAAAGTTGTGGTCGGACACTTGGAAGGGACGTATTAACTGGCCTGATGGAAACATGTATAGTTTTAACAATAGGGGTTCCAGGATTGACCCCAGGGGATCACCATAGCTCATAGCCATTTATTCTGAGGCACGGTTACCTATTTCACCAGAGTACAAATGCATTCTGTCTGTAACCTCTGCATTATTGTTGTTGTTCTTTTTTTATTCCTACCCTAATATAGCGCCTGGTCCTTCTAGAACCTTGTAGTGGTCTGCACCATGCTGCTGCAGAATATAATGGTTAATTTATATTCTGTCATCAAGCTTGATTGACTTGCTGTCTCTGTTCCTGTAGACCTTCACTGCCTGGTGTAACTCACACCTGAGGAAAGCTGGCACTCAAATCGAAAACATTGAAGATGACCTGAGAAACGGACTGAAACTCATGCTGCTTCTGGAAGTGATCTCAGGTCAGATTACAGAATGCTGTGGTGCCGGTTCATTTCTGACTGTACTGATCTACATTTGTCTGAACGGGTTTCTGTCGTGTCCCCCTGCCCGTGTACAGTATTTACTCACATGACCTTCCCACAATGGCATGTTGGCAGGTGAGAGGTTATCTAAGCCGGACAGAGGGAAGATGCGCTTTCACAAGATTGCTAACGTCAACAAAGCACTGGATTTCATCACGAGCAAAGGGGTAAAACTGGTCTCCATCGGAGCTGAAGGTACCAGAAGCCTCGGCAAAACATATAGAACAGAAAATATTACCCTCGCGTTCGCTAATAGGATTTATGTTTGCGTTTCAGAGATTGTGGACGGGAATGTGAAGATGACGCTTGGAATGATCTGGACAATAATTCTCCGCTTTGCCATTCAGGACATTTCTGTTGAAGGTGTGTTGATGAAAAAAAATCTATTATTGTATTCCACAGAAGCGCCCGTGACTGTCATAATGTAAAAAAAAAAATATACCATTGTACTGCTAACATCTGTGCAGAAACATCTGCCAAAGAGGGCCTCCTCTTGTGGTGTCAAAGAAAGACTGCCCCCTACAGGAATGTCAATGTTCAGAACTTCCATGTGAGGTAAGTCAGCATTTGACCTCCCAAAGTAATGGAAGCGAGACATTTCAGAGCTAACGACAGAATCTTTCCCTTTCTCAACACACAATTTAATCACATCATATTTTGGTAGTTAGCATAACACAAGCAAATGCAATTTTTAGAGCGTATCTACAAAATGAAGAATTCAGTTTCCAATTTTGGCAACCCTGAAACTCGCGGTTTGCATGGCCTTTGAAGACAAACAAACAAACAAAAAAAAAAAGGTGCCTTTGTGAACTGACATGTTGGCTCTCTCTGCTCATCGTCCGGTGAAGCTGGAAGGACGGCCTGGCCTTCTGCGCCCTGATTCACAGACACAGACCCGACCTGCTCGACTACTCTAAACTCAGCAAGGTGTCGTGCGTGCGCATGAGCGTGTGTCACCTGTAACCTGTGATGCCGTGCCACTGACCTGCACACGCAGTCATAACGTTTCACAGTGTGAGCCGATTAGAAAAAAAAAAACACACACACATGAAAGTGTGCACTATGAATTAAGTCTAAACTAATCATCGCTTTAAACACTCATGGCTTGCGTAGGTTCGCATGCAATAAAATGAAGGCAGAGAGTTCCATCCATCCACTTCCCATGCCGCTTTTTCTCATTCAAGTTACAGTTGGGGTTGGCTGACTGTGGGCTGACTGTTTAAGGCCACGCTCTGTTGACGCTGCTTGTCATTTAAATTATGACATGTTGGTGTATTTAAAACAACCACGTTACTGCCTTGAAGTCCGCTAGCTTGATGCTAACACACAAAGGGAAACGCCATCGATGGGAGAGTTTTCGATTAAAATATAGCCAGGGGAGAATCACAATTGCGCATTTATATTCCGAGTGTGGCCGCTGCGGCTGTTCAGCAGGAGTAACTCATCCGTCGTCAGTCTTCCAAGCAGAAGCCCTCGCTTTTCAACACTGGTCTGGAACGGTCGCGGAAACATGAGCCTCGTCCCCCCCTGCGGAGCTGGGCTTCGCTATTACAGTCACCTCGCGTACGCCGCAGAGACCGCTTGTCCTCATGAGAGTTAAGAAGATCACACGAGCTCAGTGGAGTATCACAACGAGGCGCATCACAACTTTTCCGCCACTTCCCACTGCTCCCCCCCCCCCTCCCCTTTTCCCCTCACACACACGTTCAGTCACCCATGGACTTTGGAGATTGCAGACAGTGTCACTGTGCAGCTGTTGAGCTTGGCTCCAGGTGAGCGTTCCTGTCGGGCTCGCATTGTTGAAGCACAGGCTGGCTCAGGATGTCCTCCTGTCCATCCTGGCATCATCTGATCCCTCCATCTCATCCTCTGCTGGATGGAGGAGCAGCTGGCCTTGCCTGTTATGTAGGCAGCAGCCGCCTTTGTGGCGCAGAGAACAATGGCGGCGGAACTTCCGTATGATCCCTTTACCCCCGTCGACCGTCACCGACTGGCCGGTTGAGCAGTGACGCACTCGGCTGTTGGTCCCACACTCTGTCCGGTACTGCGACAAGAGTCAAATTTATGAGTAAAGGTACTCAAAATGCAGTGAACCCCCCCGCCTGTTTGTGGTTCGCCATTTCTTTTTTGTTGTCACGTATTCTCTGCGACATGGTTTTGAAAAAACTCAACTTTCAAGATGCTGCCAGAGCCGTGGCTAATAGGAAAGTAGAAATTGGTGTCAAGGAAGTAGCTACATTGAAGGGGGAGCTGGTGTTTTCGGCCGGGTTGTTAGCAGAAGCGACTTTACTCATGTGGTAGGCTTCAGCTTTTAGGCCGTGTGGCTTCAATTCCGATCCAGTCTGGTCCATCGTGTAAATAGTTGTTTTTTTGCTCAATGTGGCCTGTGATTGACTGGCGACCAGTCCTGGGTGTAGTCTGCCTTTTGCCCAAAGTCAGCTGTGATAGGGCTCTGGCTACCCGCTACCCTGAACAGGACAAACTATAATGGCGAATCCGATTTCTTATCATGAGATAAAGTATTTTGGAATACAACCTGAATGAAGTTGTCACAATGAAATAGTACAATTGTGTTCATGGGTTGCAACAAAAGGCAATAAATGACTTGTTTTCTTCTAGTCTGGCAACCTAATTCCAAGAACATTATTTCATTCCCCCTGTAATATATCAGCTTTATTTTTCGAACACTAAGACGTTATAACGCCTCATAACTTTTCTTTTTTTTTTTTTTTTTCTGTACTTTGGTCGATTGAAATCTACAAAACACCCAAATCGTATTTGAGCAATCCTCAGGGATTCACATATGTGTGTTGATTTAAATCCAAACCATCTCCAGATTGCTTGGCCCTTGTCAGCTTCGAACACCCCACTGCAACACGCAAGATGAATTGCTTGATCGGAAACCGCAATTAACGACAGAGGGAGTCATTAAGGGCATTCCGCAATTGTTAGGCCAAAACGTTATCGATTTCCACGAGCGGCCTCGTTGGTGAAACGCTGCACTTCAGTCTAATAAAAGCTCCCCACGTGAGCGTTTTCCCGACGACAGATCTTCTGAGAAATGAGCATTGCATGCAAGTGATGAGGAAGTATAACGTGTTCGCCGTTGCATGAAGGTCAGGCCCCGCTGGCATTCGAAATCCGGCGTTGCTGTTTCATCATGTGGAATTGTATTTCTTTATTTAGGATGATCCTCTGGGCAACCTGAACCTGGCTTTTGACATAGCGGAGAAACACCTGGACATTCCCAAAATGCTTGATGCCGAAGGTACGTTTTAGTTGCAAGACAGTTTTTATGATTCATCTTTTTATTCTTTTGTCCGTCCCCCGACAATAATTTCCCCCTTCTTTTCATTTTGACCTCACCTCCCCTGCAGATATCATCAACACCCCCAAGCCTGACGAGAGAGCCATCATGACGTATGTGTCCTGCTTCTATCATGCTTTTGCTGGCGCCGAGCAGGTTGGCAAAATCATTTTATCCCATAACACGATTTGCTTATCCAACCTCACATGCTAATATCAGTATAAACGGATACCGCACATTCAGACCTACTGAATGAAATCCTCAAACTGCGCATAATGTTTCAGTGCCGTGACGTGGTCATAGTACGTAATGTTCTTGCGGATTAAAATAATATACTTAACTACACTTTATAGGAGTAAAATCTGTCTCATTTTTTGATGAACGTTTAGGCCTACTAGGCTACTGTATTTTAATTTCGGTCATTTCGGTGGTACTTGGGCAGCCAAGTAGCGGTATGTTTCTTTTTTAGGCAGCACTTGGTGTCAATATTTCACGATCAATTCGCTAATGAGTTCAGTTTTCATTCCCTCAGCACGTTTGCACGAACAGTGAAACCAAAACGTATACTTTGAGAATAATATTGGAATTATTGAGAGAATGGCCCACTTTCACTCACTGTAATGAGACTGTTTTTTTTCCTTCCCTCAGGCTGAAACGGCTGCCAACAGAATCTGTAAAGTGTTGGGTGTAAACCAGGAGAACGAGAAGCTGATGGAGGAGTACGAGAGGCTGGCCAGCCAGGTAACCATGATGAAAAAAATGTCATAGTTTACTTTGCACTAAGGGTGGCTGCTAAATAGTTAAATTTACATGATGAATGAAGCAGGACTTTGTAGCTCTAAAGGTTTCAGAAGAGAAAAAAAAAAGCAGTTTGTAGGCAGTTCAATGATAAACAGATATAGTGTCAGTATCTAACAGTAATTGTACTGTAATCTAATATACTTGACAGTGAGCCATAAATATACAGATTAAAAATAAATTAGAATACGTTACGCAATTTATAATCCTCATTCTTTGAGCTGTCGGTTTTCCCTCCTCAAAACTGACATTCGAAGCAACCTGAGAATCCTAATGCTGCCAGAATCAATGAACCGGTCAGAACCAGCCGACGACACATTTCAATGAAAACCCCGCGAAGCTTTTTCACAGTATTCCCAACTGGCATCATGTTGTGATATTAATTATCTCGGCGTGGCCCTCTCCAGCTGCTGGAGTGGATCCGCCGCACCACTCCCTGGCTGGAGAACCGGACCCCGGAGAAGACCATGGCAGAGATGCAGAGGAAGCTGGAGGACTTCCGGGACTACAGACGCCAGCACAAGCCTCCCAAGGTGCAGGAGAAGTGCCAGCTGGAAATCAACTTCAACACCCTGCAGACCAAGTTGCGCATCAGCAACCGGCCTGCTTTCATGCCCTCCGAGGGCAAGCTGGTGTCTGTAAGTGACTCCAAATCCTTCATTCACTGAACTTGGCATCACTCATTGCCAGGCCAGGAGAGAGACGCAGAAGCGTGTGGTGATTATTATTATTATTATTATTTTTTTTCCCCCTCTCTGATGATTGTGCCTCCAGGATATTGCCGCAGCATGGCAGGGCTTGGAGCATGCGGAGAAAGGCTACGAGGATTGGCTCCTCACGGAGATTCGCAGGTTGGAGAGACTGGACCACCTGGCCGAAAAGTTTCGCCAAAAGGCCACCAATCATGAAAATTGGGCCAGCGGTGAGCAGTTGTACACACGGTTCATCTCAAAACTCCACACACACCTGTTCAAATGCAAGATTTTTGTCATCTAAAAAAAAAAAAAAAAAAAAAAACGAGCCCGTGATGAAGAGACTTCGAAGCCGTACTACTCAATAATAATCGCAAATCAAAAGAAACCTTTCAGAGAGAGAAAGTCACAATTGGGAATGTGGCTGTGTTCAAATTGAGAACAACTGGAGCCAGCACACAACTGCCACCATTTCAAGCGCCCCTGATGAACCCCAAATAAAGTTAAGCCGATACAGGCTATAAGTCACACGGAAAAAAGTTTTGAAATGACTTATCATGGTCTCATTTTTTTATTTTAGTTTTTATACATCACAAAAGCCTCAACAGATGTGTGTAGACTTCTGTCCCCTATGTCTTTACGAGTTCTTTCTTTTCCCAATACTTTTTTTTTTTTTTTTTTTTTTTTTTTTTTTAGCTTGAGCTCAGCTCGAGTCAGTCCACCGTCTCCACAGTGTTCATTACCGCCGTGAGAAAGTCAGAACTTTTAATCTTTCTTCTCTGAATGTGTGCTCTCAGGCAAAGAAATGTTACTCTCCCTGAAGGATTACGAAACTGCCACCTTGACACAAATCAAGGCGATGCTTCGAAAACACGAGGCCTTTGAGAGCGACTTGGCAGCCCACCAAGACAGAGTGGAGCAGATTGCCGCCATTGCGCAGGAGCTCAAGTACGCAATCCCCGCTCCACATTATTTGCAGTCATTGTCCGAGTCCGCGTATCAGGAGTGTGAAGTCACTCCGCGCTTTATGGCGGGCGCGAATGGCTGAGGCTCACTCGACACATAAATCACATTAAATAAATACATAAAAAAATAAATAAAAAATCACAAAATAAAAAAAAAAATGTTGGACAATCACAAGTTTGAAAAAGCAAAAGTTGATAACTTGGAAAAGTCCTCACTTTGGTCAGAGGTTTACAAAAGCTACTTTTGTGTGTAATTTTTTTTTTTTTTTTTTAGTATTGTACAATATCGACAACACTATCTGCGTTCGAGTAGACATGGCCAGAATGTACTTGTATATTTCCTTCTTTTGTTTTGGTTCATTGTTTTAATATTTACAACCCATTATAAGAAACAATTAAATTCGCACACAAAAAAAAAAATATATCAGCATTTCCACCTTTTGGGGGGTGGTTGAAAACAACATATCTTCTATCATAAGAGTCCATGTTTTCTTTTCCAGTGAGCTGGACTACCACGACGTGGCAGCTGTAAACCAGCGCTGCCAGAGCATCTGCGACTTGTGGGACCGACTGGGAACCCTGACCCAGAAAAGGAGGGAAGCCTTGGAGGTGAGGACTACGAAAGAACGTGAGCAAGACGAACATGGATCGCGCCTGCCTTCACGTCCTCTGGACGCACTGGCATGTGTGGCGAGTCTCCACCAGAGTGCGCTCATGATCCACATCGGTCCACGCTGATGCCTTTCAAACCAAAATATCCAGAGGTGTTTCATATGGGATTGGATGGAGACATGGCTGTCATCGTGTGGCCGCTAACTGGCTCCGGTCCCACCCCGGCCACTTCCTCTCATCCGTGCGGACCATTCCTGACCCGCAAGTGCATGAGTGAGGGCCCAGGAAAAGGTCTGAGGATTAAGCGTGAATGACAGCAACAGAGGCCTGTTGTCTGTCCACGTCCCACTCAACACAATCCCCCTCCGAGCCGAGCCAAAATTGCGGTTAACAAGGCCATGCTAATGTTGTTCTCTCTGGGGTTAGTCGTTAGAACAGGTGCGTCCGTGAGCGTCGGGGGCCGGGCGTGCGGGGGGGTGGTAATTCTCGCTGGGATTTGTCCTGGAAGAGGTCAGCTTGGACATTCGGAGCCTGTATTTTTTTTTTTTTGGATTTATGTGGTGTCGTCATTTCTGCAGCGCACAGATAAGCTGCTGGAGACCATCGACCAGCTGTTCCTGGAGTTTGCCAAACGCTCGGCTCCTTTCAACAACTGGATGGAGGGAGCCATGGAAGACCTGCAGGACATGTTTATGGTGCACACCGTAGACGAAGTCCCGTTAAAAAAAAAAATTTTTTTTCAATAAAAAAAAAAAAAAAAAAAAAAACGAGCCCGTGATGAAGAGACTTCGAAGCCGTACTACTCAATAATAATCGCAAATAAAAAGAAACCTTTCAGAGAGAGAAAGTCACAATTGGGAATGTGGCTGTGTTCAAATTGAGAACAACTGGAGCCAGCACACAACTGCCACCATTTCAAGCGCCCCTGATGAACCCCAAATAAAGTTAAGCCGATACAGGCTATAAGTCACACGGAAAAAAGTTTTGAAATGACTTATCATGGTCTCATTTTTTTATTTTAGTTTTTATACATCACAAAAGCCTCAACAGATGTGTGTAGACTTCTGTCCCCTATGTCTTTACGAGTTCTTTCTTTTCCCAATACTTTTTTTTTTTTTTTTTTTTTTGCTTCGTTTGATCTCAGCTCGGGCCAGTCCC